TGTCGCCAGCAAGCGACACAACCAGATGCTTTTTCAAGAGCAGGAAAATGAACGATCCCATCAAGCTTGTCCTCGTGGGTAGGCAGCTGGAGCAGGGAGCTGCAAGGAAAGATTAGATGCCAGGGACTGATTAGAGCAGGGAGGGTTTGTGGGGTTAGGAGTAAAAGGAACAGCTTCTTCTCGCTGCTTGGCTGGCTCCAGTTAGGAGCTTGACGTGCGTTGTTAAAAGCAAGTGGTTTTCAAAACCACTAATTGTTTTTGACTTGGTAGCTTTCCAGCCTCTCTTTTCTTCCATCTCAAACTCCCCTGCAGAGGGTATAAAACCACACGCCCAGCCACTTGCTTTTTGTACTATTATTTATCTTCTAAAATAAGAAGGGGGAAAAAGACTGCACCACAGGAAAACCCCTATTAGTGCAGCCACTCGCAAACTGGGCTGGGTCCAGGCACTGCTGGAAGAGGCCTGACAATGGCTAAAAAACCAGCCCAGGCCTCTGCCTTTGAACCATGCTTGTCCTGAAGGGAGAATTGGGACCGCAGAGCAGCCCCACGGGTTTACCAGGGCTATGAGCTTTCCTGTCTGGCGAAGGAGGACCACCGCACAGGAAGCTGGCTGGGGTTTTCAGAGGCTGCAGACATTGGTATTCTGTCGTCATCTCTTTGGGAAGAGAATTGAGGGGCAAAAACCCGGGGAAGGACTTTCCAGCATGGCTGTGCTGTGTGAAGCAGAGGGGAGGGGGTATAGCTCCCGCATGGTAACACTGGGAGGTATTGGGGTCCCCATCACTGCACAGATCCTCCGATCCCTTCCTTGTGCCGTGGGGCCACAGAGCTCATGGTAGCTGCACGGCGGTGCTCCAGACGGCTTCCCCCCACCCCGCACCACCCCAGGGGGCTGGCCGGGTGCACTAGCCAAGAGGTGGGAGGGCAGGACAGTGGGCCCCCACGTCCTCTCTGCCCCTCCTGGGACACGGTGAAGGGGCAGGGGCTGCAATTCTGAATGATGCTTTTCTGGGCCAGGCCCATTGGCGCCTTCAACTTGGTGCTAACTCTGGAAACTGCCTTGGGTTTGGGTGTCTGGCTTTAGATTTGCAGGGCATGCTGGTCTTAGAGGTGCTAAGCACCCAATTTGCCAAGTAGAAATGTGATAAAGCAGCCCTGAAAGTCAGGCCCAAAGAGTCTCCAATTGGACTTCCAAAATCAGAAGCCTGGCTTGGACAAGTCAGCCATGTTTGTGTGTCCAGGATACTTCTCTGGGGCTAATCGGCTTCACCTCTTCACATTTAGAGGTGGAAAGAGCAGGGGAAATGAAAGGCCACACGCTGACAGGACCAGAACTGCAACCTGGGAATCCCCGGCGCCCAGGTCTATGCGGCTCCACTAAAGCAATTGGCCCCCGACTTCTACAAGACAATGTGAACAATACTGGGCCAGGGGTTTTCAACCTTTTTTCGGAAGTGTACCCCTCCTGGTGGTGGCAGCTGGATGCAGAGCAGGAGGGAAGGGGCTTGCACGCAGCGGCCACCACCACTCACTGCCTCATGATGCTGCCACCACATCCCCCTTTCCCGCGGCCCGGGGGCGCACCGGG